TTATTTTACACACAGTAACCAAGGATTACCTGGACAGTGTCCGACTGCGGTTCCTAGATCAGGAGTACCAACACCATCTGGGAATTGCTGGAAATGAAGCCTCAGGCCCTTCCCCAGACTTACTGAATCAGAAACTCCGAGCAGAGCCCAGAAATCTGTGTTTTGACAAGCCCTTCAGGTGGTTCAATATGTTTGAGAACTACTGCCCTAGGGAGTGATTTCCCAGGAAGTAGTAAAGCAGCCAGCATCTTCATGGTTAAGTCCAAGTATTCAAACGAGTCAGCCCATCTGATTGCAATGGACACAGAAACTCACCCCTGGTGTCCCCCCAGGGAACACTGGACCATAATAGCATTAATCATGTCAGCGTGAACACAAATACAAGGTTTCAGAGAAAGGCGGTCATGCATACAAATATTTGCTCTCCCCACTGTTAGCAAAATGTGCCCTTGAATACACAGCTCCTGCCAGTTTGGGATAAACATACCTCTGGGTATGAGTCACCATTGAACCCACACACAATGAAATAGGAAGCTGGGCTGGTTTCTGCTGTGGTGTGCCCAGATCAGACTCAGCCACAATGGGAAGAAATCCTGCACCACTCACCAATCCCCAAACCTTCTGGGAAGCCCTCTGACTCAGTCGGCATTTTGACTTTGGCATAGGAGAGGCCAGCAATAGCAGGACCCTGCTTCCTGACCTCCAGGGGCTGTCAGTATGACGACACAGAGGGGCCCCCTTTTCAAAGTGAATCAGATGCCAACATTCTCCTCTTGGTAGAGCGACTCTCTTTTCTGCAAGAACTTGGGAAAGTCGGTTTGTTGTTCTTCAAAAGAGGGTTTCTGTGATGTAGTACAGGTCGTCTCACCCTTCCTGTTCACTTGACCAGGTAATTGGAGAGGCAAGAGGCAGGGCCGCCTCCCAGCTACTCTGGGACTGGCCGGCTGTAGGGCTGGCTCACCCTCCAGCCTGGATGCCTCATGTCTCCCCGTTCCTGAGTTCACCGCCCCCCCGCCCATCAAACACTGCTCCAAGAGCACTGGGTAAATTTAAATCAAAGTGTTCCTCTCTCAGATTTATTTGCACGTGCAACCTTAACTCTAATTGTGAAAATGAACTCTTATTTCTTTCTGGATAAACATTTCTTAACATCAGTGAATAGGTGGCAGAGGACAGGGGATTTGTCATGATTTTTTAAAAATGTGGAGTTCTTTCCCTTAGCCTTGGAAACAGCCTGTCTGCAAGTGAAGATGAGCTGGGATAGACCATACTCCTGGTGATAGCAGCACTTTCATTCGTAACACAGTAAGAGTAATTCATGCTCGGATATTTTTCTTTTGGGTGGAATATGATATTGAAAACTGGGGCTCCCCTCCTGTCAAAGATGCAAAGTTCTCAACTAAGTTGTGTGTATAAGTCACCCATCAAGACAATTTATTCTGAAGCTTGTAACATCATTGTGTCTCCTTAAATTGACAGCTTCCCTTTAGACCTTCCTTAGGGTATATCGCTGTCCCTGGTGTTCCCTTGAAAAGCTTGGGGCTTTTCTAGTTAAGAGGAAGATGAACAGACAATTCCAGCAGCAGGGAGGGGTGGGGCACTGAGCATTACCCTGGGAAGCAGGGTCGGAAAACGGAATGTAGGAAAGACTATTATACACTAATGAGGGGGTCTGAAAGGCATCTCTGGCATATGAGGAATTATTACACCCCAGAGAAAGATCTATTGTCCTCAGATCTTCCTGAGGATGGAAAAGAAATGGGTTTCAGTTATATTAGGCAGTGTTCACATGCCTGAGTGGGTAGTGTGTGTGTGTGGATGTGTGTTTTAAGAGTAGAATTGGGACAGGGGCAGATACCATTAGAGGCAACACGTCCTGCCTCTCAAAGTTGTTTTACAAGACCATGTATGAAGTCAACAAATACTTGAGGAGGGACAGTCTTTCTTAAGTCACACAGGTGACTGGATTGTTGTTTGATTTCTCTGGCATTTACTTAGGTGCACAGAGTAATTCTAGAAGAATTTACAGAAGGGATGGGCCTTTGAGACGCATTATGAGGAAGCCGAGCTTGGGTTAGGTCCTGACACATACAGAAAAGTCTCTGGGAGCAGGAAGAGATGAAGAGCGCTGGGGAAGTGTCCGAACTGGGAAGACACACGTTCTGGCCCTAGCTTGGAGAACAGGCCAACCTGTTCCAAGTGTTTGTGAACCTAGGGCGGGCAGACCCTGAGCTGTGCACTGGCAATTACAGCCGGAGACACAGTGCTGCTTCAGAGAGGCCTGCCACCGGGAGAAGGAGTCAATGAATGTCAACACACCACTATCCGTGCACACCATTTGATGGAGCGGAGGATGAGCACCGGCTCCGCTACCTGCTGGGTGACCTTGAGCAATGGACTTATTTCTGAATCCCAGTTTTCTCATTTCTAGCATGAATGCCTGGATGTATTAGTATGGGTTCAATACCCAGCAGATGCATAATAACATTAAATACAAAAAAAAAAAAGAAAGAAAAACAAGATTGGCTTAGACAGGGGTGGGGAGGATATAATGTAAGAAACTTGGGGAGAATCTTCAATGATTAGCAGGAAGTCTTCAACTTCATCTTGTCATTCATTCAAGTTATTTGTTGTGTGACCTTGAGCAATGGACTTACCCTTTCTGAATCCCAGTTTTATCATCTCTAGCATGAATGCCTGGATGCCATGTTCCCCTGTGCCCTTTTTGCTTAATTTTTAATTTTTCTGCATGCAAACGTTTACAGTTTTTTTAAATTAAGGTATTATTGATATACACTCTTATGAAGACTCCACATGAAAAAACAATGTGGTTACTACATTCACCCATACCATCGCGTTCCCCCTACACCCCACTGCAGTCACTGCCCATCAGTATAGCAAGATGCCACAGTCACTATTTGCCTTCTCTGTGCCACACTGTCTTCCCCATGCCCTTCTTACTTTAAAAGCTATGATGAAATTCCTTTCTTTCCAATGGAAGCTTTTGTGTACCTGCCAAAAAAAACCTGCTTTCCTCTGCTGTTGGCTGAAGTCAGCGCAGTCAGAGAGCTGGGAGGCACCGACACAGACCGACACAGACCTCAAAATAAAAAGGAACAACCTTTAATCAGTGGCTAAGGGCTAAGATAATACTAGTATGTGACCCCTCAGTGACCTGTCCAAAGTGTTCCAGTTAGAAAGTGGCTACTGACTTGTAAAGCAAACATGAGCTCAGGCAAATCTGAGTTTTGGGAAGCCTGCAATGACTTAGAAAGAGTTGCTGATTGGTACCTACTGATAATATATATACCACACACAGCAAGTCTGAGGCTCCGATGGGCCACATGGCAATGGAATGAAGAAGTGGCTTTTGTAATCCCCTTTACCATCACTCATAAATTACTCATATTGGGAAAACAAACTAATCCATTAGCAAGAGAGATGAGGGTCAGGATGTTCTAGTTGGGTGGAAGGTACCGATGGAGAGACGTGACCTTAATAAAAATCAACATCTATATTTGTTGCTCTTAGGGTTTCTAGAAGCACCCCCAAAAGATAGGAACCACTATTAGAGGCACCTTTATCTGCACCAAATCATTTCACTCAATTACCACTTACTCAGTGAAAGACCAAAACTAAAGCAAGCAATTATTAAAGATACGCAGGAGGAGAATGAATAGAGCAGAACCACATTTCTCTCTGTCCTAAGGTGCGGCCTTAACACTGCCGGCTGTCATGATCCGAGTTCTCTAGCCATCCCTTAGTATGATAAAGCCGAACTGGGTTCCCAGCAACAAGAATCGATTTGAGTTCAGCATGTTCACCTCAAAACTATTCCCCTGTAGGGGCCTTAAGAGAAAGTAGATACAGATAAATCACTAACACGGTTCGAGACAGCCCCCAAAGAGCAGACATCCATGTTTATAAAGTTAGGTCCCACAGCAAGAAAATGTGGCAGAATGAATCCAAGCTTAGCAAAGGGCAAAATTAAAGGGTGTTTACTCAAGGTATAAAATCGTGAGGTGAAGGCCCCTAAGACATATTATTAAGAGGAAAAAATCAAGTCACAGAAAAATGATCATAGAATGATACCATTTTTATACTCCACCCAGCTATCTTATTCCTGTCTAGAAAGATCACACTATTAGCAATTTTACCTCTAGAGGGGAAGGGGAACTGATGTTGATAGGGTAGAGGCGAGGGCCTTTCACTTTTCACTCGCTAGTCTCCTGTAACATTTCACTTTTTTAACATCAGATGTATTTATATATTACTTGGAAAATTAAAATCAAGCATTGCTGCGCTCTTTTACATTTCCCAGATAAACTAATAATTTAAACTGTAATTCAATTCTGAAAGGTTCAACTCACGTTTCAGGGCCACGCCCAGCTCATAAATAATGTACACCTGTTCGCAGCACGCCTGCCTCTCCCCTTTTACCTTCTCCGTGCCCCCGTGATCTGCACCGCTGACACAGGTGCGTCCTTCAAGGTGTTTGGAGGAGTGACAGGAATACCAGAATGACAGGTTGTTAAAGCAGCACGCCTGAAACCTTTCAAACAGCCCGCCTCTCCTTTCAGCCAGCCCCAGCGAGGCTTGGGCATGTCCCAACACAGCACACAGCTGGTGAGAAGAACCCTTTCATGACACACCTTAATTAACTTATTGACTCAGGTGGGAGTGAGGAAGGGCGTGAAGGGCTAGGATGGGGACAGAAAAGCAAGTCCCAAGCACACCCAAAAATTCAAAATGCAATAACAATCACAGGGGACACACATCCGGGAGCTCAGAAATAGGACGAGCTTCAGATGTCGTGGCTGAACGCAAGGTGCTTAATGAAGTCTCCCTTCCATGGAAACCGAGGCTCCACAATACAGAGATTCTCGCACCAAGAACATGTCTGCCCGGCTCCCCATGGATCACCCCCCGGGAGGTTGCCGAGCCCTGCAGCACCATTCCAACTTCAGCAACCTTGCTCGGGGATCGACATTTATAATTACCTTTCTCCTTCACCATGGCAACCGGGTCCTTTGGCGAGCAGCACTGGAGGAAGCAGGACTGAGCCCAGGGGCGGGCGCGCGCCCGGGCACGGAGATCCGCAGCTGCGGAGGCTCGAGGAAAAGCCCCGGCACCCGCCCGCCAAGTCCCCGGCTTCTTTCTAGAATCCCGCCCCCATCTCGGAACGCCTCGCCCGGGTGTCTGCCCCAGGGACTGCCGCCCGGCGGCCGCGCCCTGCTGGGGACTCTGCCCTGGGGCCGAAACCGCTCGCCACAGCTGCTGCTGTAGCAAATGCAAAATTCCACCGTCCTAATCTCTGGTCACTGACACCTCCTTGCATTCCTCGGCCAGGCCCGGGAAAACGCGCGACAGAACGCTCCCTCCCGCAGTCTGATAAATGATTGCCAGAAGAGGGGGCCGAGGCACAGCAGGCGCTGCTTCAGTAAGTAAAACTAGTCAATCGTTAGCTAGTAGTTTCCTGTTACTGCCAGTCTCAGTTCTTGGAACAGCTTCTTGCAGACAAACGCAATAAATACAATTAGACTTTGTAGAAAAATGCTGGTAACTGCTTCGAGTTCATTTTCTTCAACTTGTAAGGTCTTGGGGGCTCCGTTATAATGAATAATGACACTCGATTGGCCTTGCTGCTCCCCCCTCCACCCCAGTCCCCCAGTCTGTAGTTCACCTGAAAGGCAGGATGGGGAGTCGGGTGGGGACTGAGACAATGAAGAGGATCTTTCAGGATTCAGTTCCTTATCCAGGATCAGATTCAAGATCAAAGTAAAAATCTGATGTATCCATTAGGTAGGATTCTGACTTCCACCTTCTCCCAGCTTCACTGAATTGTTCTAAACAAGCCCCTTGGATGTATACGTATGAGGGAGAAACCCTAGTCACAAGGTGACAGGCAAAGAGTCACACCCCACTGCTCACCGGCCTGCGCCTGGCCCAGCAGCAGGGCTCCCGACAAGGCTTTTGATCTCTGACCTGCCAGGGGCACAGGTCTGTCTCTAGGGAGCAGAGGACCCTGGGTCACAGAGCCGACGCCCGCCCCATTCCAGCCCCTGTCTCCCAAGCCCAGATCTTCTGTGCCCCACCTCATGTGGTACACATCCACCACGTGGGAGAAATGTGATGAGCAAGAGACAAAAAAGACAGATGAAGCACCACTCTGGGGAGAGCAGCAGATGGCCTACACATCTTTCAGAACCAGAATGCACAGCCAGTATTAGACTGTATTTACTGCAAATATTGTAACGTGTTGGGTCTAAGAGAGTCAGGCTAGCAGAAAGGAATGAAGTCAGTCCACCTGCGTCATCTTTGACTTGGAGGTTGTCGATAGCTCAGAGTGCGGAGTGGTGGGGCTGGGCAGGCCCCTCCTGCCGGGTGTCTGACTGTGAGCAGTAGCAGATTTCAGGCAACTGTGACATTCCGACATCTGTGACTCAGGGCTTTCCTATTAATAGCTTGGGGCTCAGCCTCTAAGGGCAAAGTCCCCTCCAACCCCTGGGTCATCTCCTCTGACACCCTTTCCCCGCAGTGTGCCCTGCCCCCACTGTAGCCCCATAGGGTCCTGTTTTTCCTGAGTCAGCATCCAGCTGGAGCATAAGCACTGAAGAGCCTTTAAGCAGCTCTCTCACATCCATTCATAAATATCAGCCTGGCATGACAGCAACACAACCTCAAGTCCGGAGGAGTGGGCAGTGCTCATGAGTATGGGGGAGACAAGCCCTTCCCAAATTTTCGTGGCTAAAACTGCATTTATCTACCTTCCCACCGCTAATTACCCTCAGAGTCCTTCAGGAGACGGTGACACGCAAAATAACATCACACGGCTGGACTTGATTTGGTGCTGTGAGCCCAGCAGGTGAATTTATTTTATTATATTTTTGCTGCATAAATAGATTAGCACCTCAGGCGCTTCTCTCCAAAGCTTTCATGTTATGCAGCTCAAAGATAAGGGAACAGTACTCTCTCTCCCCATCTCGCTATCCCCCTCTCTCCCTAATGGAATATGACAGTAAAACACCATTTTTTAGTTCAAACCTAATCATACATAAGTGTTCCAGATACTATCAATGCAATTAGCTCAATTTCTCTTCTATTCAGGATGACGATTTTTAATCTTGAGATTTAAGTTTATTAGCCAAACTGGTCCTTTATGACAGTTCTGAACCTACCTGTATACCTTTGTGGATGAACTGCACACAAACTCTGGTTTACAAAGGCTCTCTAGCAGCTTCAGAGACTAAGCAAGCAGAGTACCAGCTGGCGCCTATTCATTTTCAGAGGAGCCTTTTCTAAAGGAAAATACTACATAGTGGTTCAGAGAGATCCCCCCCCTTCTGTGTTTTCCATGAAAAGAATTTTCCTGTACCACAAAGCGAATGAGTCACCAGCATTGAGCTGCTAAATAACAGTCATATGGCTCAAGTCCCCCCAGCAATCAGACACTGCTGCTACTCCAGGGTAAAAGCATCCACTGCACTTTTAAGATAACCAAAGAGAGTATTACCAGAGCTATTTTGGGAATGTAGGAGAGTAAAACTAAACTGTTTTTGTCTCCTTGCCTCAGGGCCGAATAGTTAAGAGCTTTGAGCACAGAGGCAAAGCGTAGATCTTTTCTACTTTACAGTTGAAGCTATAAGAAGTGCAGCAAAATGAATCAAGAAAAAAATGAAAAATGTATGGTTCATAAGATGGCAGGACTTTTTATTATTATTTCCAGAAATGATTTCCGAAGAACTTATCTCAATCTCACTCCACTCACATGAGATAAAACTCAATAATACAGACCCCAACCCATGGTTTTATTTGTTGTTTTATTCCCCACAGACTGACTCACTGCTGCCTTTTCATTCACTCATAGTACGAAGCAAGGGTGGTCCACAAGTTGCCAAAGGATAAAACCACGTTTTGTTGGAGAGACAAGCTTTGTTAGCCTACAGCCACTCTTGGCAAAAATTCAAGAGCCCTCATTCAAGAAGCCCTGCCAGTTAAGAGGAAAATGCAACAACCAGCAAACAAGCCCCGTGGAGCCCACTTCCTCATTGCTCTGTCACTTCACCAGCACCCGGGGATTGCCTACTGCTCGTGCACCTGTAAGGCAGGGATGTCATGGCCCCTCTAGACCCCAGGACCCCAGGTTCCCAGGTGTCACACATCCCTGAGCACCTTTGGACTCACTGGCAAAACTGCACTCAAAATCCTTTCTGAAATCAGCTGAAAGAAAATTCAAGAATGAGTTCCTTATTTGTCTATTATTGAATGTTTACATTTATCAACTTCACTGCAGACATTTATGGAGCATCTACCATGTGCCAGGGTCTGGGCTGGCAGTTCGAAAACAAGGAGAAAGAAGCCACTGCTCTGGCATTAACATCTAGTGGAGAAGATGCACACAAACAAATATTTTCAGTGAAATTAGGAAGGTGCTAAGACTGAAGAAGGGTGCTCAGGCTGCTGAGCCCAGTGGGGAGCCAGGAGAGGCTTCCAGGAGGGGTAAGGGGGCAAGTCAGGGCTGCCAGTGAAGAAAGGGACAAATCCAAGTGAACACAATAGGGCACAAGAAGCCACCAAGTAGTTCTCTGTTCCCAGGCAACAGAAAGAGGCTCAAGCTAAGGCCGGGTGGTCGATCAGGGACAGCTCTGAATGCCACATGAAGGAAGCTGGATGCTAGAAATGATGGGGTTAGCATCTCAAACCTGAGCTACCTATTTCTTCCCAAATTAAGTTCAAAAGACTTTGGCTACATTTCAAAGTCTGTCACAACTTGTTTCCATCCACACTGCCTCCTTCCACCATATTAGAAGGAATTGGCACATCCAGTAAGTGTCTTTGTTTACTATTTAAATATTTCCCTGATAATCAGAATAAAATGATAGCCATGCACATCTCACAGACAGCATTTTAAGTTGCATAAACCATCTGGGTTTATCCTTCTGCAGTAATAGCTTCATGTCCTCACTGAGGCTGTGAGCACCATGAAGGCAGGAGGGTTTCATTTTTTTTTTTTACTCCCAAGAATGCAGTGTTGCAGACCTCCTCCAGGGCTAGAAATACTAGGGGTGCTTTAAATACAGACACCTGGGCCACACACCCAGACCACACCCAAGATCTGATGATTCCGATCCTCTGGGGATGAAGTATGAGCTCCAGTCAACATCTTACATGACTAAGGACCACTGGCCTAGCACACTGGCCTGCAGAGCATGAGATGAATGAACGTAGATTTATAAACGCGCTGTCTATATACCATACCGCCACATCTAAAAACAGCTCCTATCCCCTCAGTTGGCTAAAACAACAATCATCCTGATATTCACTGCAATCTTAATGAAAAGGTATTGGAAGTGGTGATTCCAAAGTCTCCTGCAATCAGAAGCAAATTCCTAAATCTCTGAGCCCTCTGGATCCTACCTTCATATCCTAAACCAAGAATTCATAGGATTTTTTCCACTGGAATCTCATGGAATCAATGCCCAGCAAAGTTCTTTTTCATGAGTTCTTCAAGTAGAATTATTTTTCATTTGCATCCAAAACTTCTCTATGATCCTTCCCAGAAGCCAATTCTGAGTTTGGACTTAAGCAATAGGTTGCAGTACTGGAATTCAAAGGCTCTTTTGATAATAAAGAGTTTATGGATTTTAGCCTAACTTCAGGCACATGAGATGTTCACAAGAAGTACAGAAATAACTCTGAATTACTTGGGAAAAGGCATTTTTTTTAACAGTTTATCATTAGATTTATCTTTTCCCCTAATATATTCTAGGTAGAAATAGAGTAACTGGGAAAGAAAAATGGTCATTTCCTATCATCTCAACTGGAACTGCAATGCCTTCTCTAACAATGTTTCCTTCTTTCTGGTATTTGATGCCACCCAATGCTCTGGACTTGACTATATAGCAGTGAGGGATTGTCTTGTCTATTTTTGCAAAGGATTTTGGGCTCTCTGAAGAAGGGATCACATGTGACTCTGTATATACATAGTGATAGACACAAAGTGGGAATGCAATATTTGCCAAACACTAAGGAATAAATGTTTACTAGCTTACCACAGTAAGTCAAAATGGCAGATAAGTATTCATTTTTATAGTCAGAGAGACTAACTTTAAAATTCTAACTCAAGTAAACTAATAGTAAATTCAGTCTCATATGTAAATCAATTTAATGGTGGCTTGAAACTATTTGCCAAGATGCAAACCAGTAATTCACCTTGGAAAGAAAGAAAGCTGAAAAAGAACTTAATCGGGTAGTCATTTTATGAAGTCTCCTTAATCACTAACCCTCAGTACCACTTCTCTCACCGTTTACAGAATGCTTACTGTGTGTCAGCCAGCATTCTAGTCTCTTTACATTTATCATCTCATTTAATCCTCATATCAACTGGATGAGATAATATATTACACTTTATATATGAGGAAAGAGGTTTGTCAGAATCCAGAGCCAAGGGTCCTCCCTTCCACAGAGGTTGTAAAAGAGCCTCCCCTTCTTTGGCCCCAACTACACACACACACACACACACACACACACATACACGCATACTTTTTTTGGAGTCAAGGGGGTACCCAATGTACATTGACCTCTTTGGCATTTCCAA